GTTTTGAATGATGATCATGAATTGTTAAAGTGAAAATAATGAATTAATGAATCATATTGTTAAGGATATCTAGAACAACTCTAAGATATACCCACTTGTATATTGATGATGATTATTAAGGATATCTAGAAGAACTCTAAGATATACCTACTTGACCAATTCATATTTCGGGTTAAAACGTACGTACGGGATCCAGACCGGATATCACCCACCCGACAAATCATTGTTCGGTTGGTACGTAATCCACATGACTCATAGGGTGGATTATCGATTCTTGTGTTCTGCATTAAACTATTTATAGTTTAAGGGCCTGGTTAGAAATGTTGCCTTAGACTAGGAATAGCTAAGAGCTTGTTATAAAATGATTTGACCTTAGATTAAGAATAATTAAAGAGCATGGTTGAGATATTGAATATCGAATGACTTGGAATAAAATATTGAGAATATCATGAATGTTTGAATCATATATTGTGTGCATGATATCAAATGGTTGATTATGAATTGAGATTCAATTTATTTGGATGTTCGACGCTTTAGATATGCTTACTCAGCTTCATCGCTGAGCGTGTAGTATGTTTTATTTGCTACACGCAGGTAGATAGAATGAGTGAAAGGCATGTTCTTGGCAGCAGAAGGGGCGAGACCGTCGTGGTGGATCATTGAACAAAATAAATAATTATGTTGTTATGAGACATGTTTGAAAGTCGCTTCCGCATTATTATTATTAAACACTCCGTATTTTCTACAATTATGTATGGAATATTATTATTTATAAATAAAAATGTTTGAAATGTTTTAAATTTTTACGATTACCAAGTCAATACTTTAGTCCGAAAGGGGCTGCAGACCTGGACGGATTAGGGTGTTACACATTCGGAGAGCTATCTAACGTCATCACGAACACAGGTGATGGGTCCAAAATCTTCCTGACTCAAGACGGTTCGTGTAACACCCCAACCCGCGTAACCCGAACCCGTGGGTCAGCGGACCGGTGTGCCACTGGATTGGTATCCAAACATACAACATTTTCAAAACAACTTAAAACAAACATTCAATCAATACTTTATAAAATTCCTCGGAGTAATTTAAAATAATGCAGAAGCCTTTTAAAGTTAAACAACTTGGGATCTTGCCCGAAAACGTAATAAGTATTAAAGTTAATTAAATAAAGCATAACTAAAGATTAAAGAGATAGCCATGCCATCGTACATCTCCTCCTCAATGCCCTCCGGGATCGGCTCTAGGTTCATCTATCTGATCACCTACTGACAGCAAAAGGAAAACAACGCTATCCGCTCAGCATTGACGCTGAGTGGTACTCCATTGTAGCACAAGAATAAACATAATAATTCAATAATTAAGATCGCGCATATGTTTATCCTTTTAATAAAAATCAATTCAACTTTAAGTTCGGTTCTTTAACCTCACTCACCACGCCCTGCAGCCGCCCGAGCAATGGCCAGTTTCTATGTTCGACATATTAAACCAATTGATCCTAATTACTATTTAGAATTAAATAATTAACTTAATTAATTCATTAAAGTCCTTTAATTTAACCATTAGGTCAAACCTACGTCAACAGAATATCCAGTCAAAGCCTATGTCAAACAGGACCTAACCCAAGTCAAAGTCAAACCTGTTCAGTCAATTCATAATCCTCAACAATTCAATTCGAATAATCAATTTAATTCAATTAACCAATTTAGCCAAATTATAGCATAAACATATATAACGATCCGAACCATTAGATCTCTTCTAACGCTATTAACTTCATAGTACGGACCTGGATTACGTAGAAATCGAATCGATAGCTCGAACGGAAGACAAATCAACGAAATCGAATGAACAACGGGTCGAATTGAGTCAAAACACGGAATCGAACAATGAATCTGGCGTGGAGATTAATCTGCCGGCTGTATCAACCTGGGGCAACAGCTCGATGTGGCGACGGTGGCGGGCGCCGGCGTACAGTGGCAGGGCGGTGGTAGCTCGCAGAAATCACGAACAGAGGAGCAGATCCGGTGATAGCCTCTGGAGGAGTCCCTAGCTACAACAGCGGCGAACCGGCGATGTATTAGTCTAGTGAGTCGCAGCGACCGCCGGCGAAGGTGGCGACCCGGCGTGGCGCTGCTCCAGAGATTTAATTGTAGAGGAAATTGCGAGGAAGATGGAGATGCGACGAGGGCTAACCTGGAGTGGCGACGTGGCGTTGGGCTGCGCAGCGATTGAGCGAGGTTGGCTGGTGCGGCGAGGAGGCGAAGGTCTAGCTTGCGCAACGCCGTCTTGGTCGAACGACAGGGATGCATGAGACGCGTAAGGTCTCCGTATCGTATACGCGTATTTATGAAATTAGGGTTTTAAGTTTATTTAATAATCCTATTCCTAGAAGGATTGGGCTCCAGACCCAAAATATCTGATTAAATGGCCATAACTTGAGCTCTGGTACTCTGATTCGCGAACCGTTTGAACCGACGCGATCACAAAAATATTTCCTATGATATGGTATAAAAATTGGGCTTAGAATCCAAATTATAATTTTAACCCCTTTTTAGGCCCAATTCGTAATCAATTGCTCTAACGAATTTAATTAATTCTTTCGGGCCAGATTTCGGGGCGCTACATTTCTCTACCCCTTAAAAAGAATATCGTCCTCGAAATTACCTGAGTCATTGGTCGCCGAAGAGGTGAGGGTACTGAGTTCGCATAGATTTTTCGGTCTCCCAGGTGGCTTCTTCCACAGCATGGTTACGCCATAGTACCTTTACTAAAGGTACCGTCTTATTTCTCAGTACCTTAGTTTCGCGCGCCAAGATCTTAACTGGCTCTTCTTCGTAAGACAAACTCTCATCGAGGGTAACAGCATTGGTCGGCAACACATGAGTCGGATCTGAACGGTATCTACGCAGCATGGAGACATGAAAGACGTCGTGAATCTTGTTCAGCTCTGGTGGCAACTCTAGCCTGTAAGCAACAAGTCCTATTCGCTCCAGAATGCGGTAGGGTCCAATGAACCTAGGTCTAAGCTTCCCTTTCTTCCCGAACTGTAGGACCTTCTTCCAAGGTGAAACCTTCAAGAATACCATGTCACCAACATTGTACTCTATGTCTCGTCTCTTCAAGTCTGCATAAGATTTCTGTCTGTCCGAAGCGGCGCGAAGTCGGTCTCTGATCACACGAACCTTCTCCTCGGTATCCTGCAGAATATCTGGTCCCTCGAGCTTACGCTCGCTAAGCTCTGTCCAACAAATCAGGGTTCGGCACTTTCTGCCATAGAGTGCCTCATAAGGAGCCATCTGAATACTCGCTTGGTAACTGTTATTATATGCAAACTCCATCAACGGCAAGTAACGCTCCCAATATTCTCCAAAGTCGATCACACAAGCTCGCATCATATCCTCGACAATCTGTATCACCCTCTCAGACTGGCCATCGGTCTGAGGGTGAAATGCCGTACTAAGGTTCAAAGCTGTGCCAAAAGCCTTCTGGAGTCCTCTCCAGAACATCGAAGTGAACCGGGGATCTCTATCAGATATGATCGATAGCGGTGCACCATGCAACCGAACTATCTCTCTAACGTATAAGTCTGCCAATTTGTCCATGGAGGAGTCACGTCTGACGGGTAGAAAATGAGCGGACTTTGTCAACCTGTCAACAATGACCCAGACGGCGTCATTCTTTCATGAAGATCGTGACAATCCGATCACAAAGTCCATAGTGATCCTTTCCCACTTCCACTCCAGAATGGTAGGAGGGTGCAGCAATCTTATCGGAACCTGGTGCGCAGCCTTGACTTGTTGACAAGTCAAACAGCATGCAGTGAACTCGGAGATTTACTTTTTCATAGTAGGCCACCAATAGGATTTCTTCAAATCCTGATACATCTTGTTACTACTCGGGTGCATAGTGTATACGGTTCCGTGAGCCTCGCGCAACAAGCGATCCCTCACTTCACCGCGGGGCACCACTAGGAGTTCACGATAGTACAAGACTCCGTCATCGCGAATTGTGAACTCAGGCCTCTTTCCCGTAGGAATTAACTCTCGAGTCTTCTGACAAAACTCATCGTCTCTCTGTGCTGTACGGATCTCCTGCTCTAACGGAGACTGAAGCTGTAGCTCGGCTAACGATTTTCTGCTCAACGCATCGGCCACGACGTTAGCCTTGCCCGGGTGATACTCAATGACCAAATCGTAATCCTTGATCAGCTCCAACCATCGACGTTGTCTAAGATTCAGTTCTTTCTGGGTGAGTAGGTACCTCAAACTCTTGTGATCGGGGAAGATGTGAATCCTCTCTCCAAAGATGTAGTGGCGCTAAATCTTCAGGGCAAACACCACGGCTTCTAACTCTAAATCATGTGTCGGGTATTTCTCCTCGTGAGTCTTCAACTGTCTCGATGCGTAGGCCACTACCTTACTCAACTGCATCAGTACACAACCTAAGCCGCTATGAGATGCGTCGCTATAGATGGTATACTCGATGCCAGGAGTAGGTTGAATCAAGACTGGTGCCTGGGTCAAGCACTCATTTAGCTGATCGAAACTGCGCTGACACGCTTCTGTCCACTTGAACTTGATGTCCTTCCGCAGTAGCTTGTTCAATGGAGTAGCGATCGAGGCAAAGCCTTTAACAAATCGACGATAGTAACCGGCTAACCCAAGAAAGCTCATCACCTCACGAACATTCCGCGGAGTCTTCTAATCCACTAAGGCTGAGATCTTGCTGGGGTCTACCGGCGGCAGAGATAACATGTCCTAAGAATGTCACCTCACTCAACCAGAATTCACACTTGGACAATTTTGCATACAGCTTGTGCTCCCTCAACACACTCAAAACCAATTGCAAATGTCTAGCATGCTCCTCCCGAGTCCGTGAGTAAACCAAGATGTCATCGATGAACACTATTACGAACTAGTCCAAGTATGGTCGGAACACAGTGTTCATAAGCTCCATGAACACTACCGGGGCATTAGTCAATCTGAAAGGCATGACCGAGAACTCATAATGCCCATAGCGTCCTAAAAGCAATCTTCGGAATGTCTTCTCTCTTGACTGGAATCTGATGGTATCCAGAACGCAGATCGATCTTCGAGAATACTGTAGCCCCTCTGAGCTGGTCGAACAGGTCGTCGATGCGAGGCAACGGATAACGATTCTTCACTGTGGCTTTGTTCAACTGCCTGTAGTCGATGCAAAGTCTCATGGATCCATCCTTCTTTCGAACAAATAACACCGGCGCTCCCACGGGGAAACGCTAGGTCGGATGAATCCCTTTTCCAGTAGCTCTTGCAATTGAGCCTTCAACTCCTTCAACTCGGCAGGTGCCATACGATACGGTGTAGCAGATATGGGTTCCGTACCCGGAACAAGATTGATCGAGAACTCTACCTCTCTCGGCGGAGGCAAACCAGGAAGGTCTTTGGGAAAGACGTCGGGGAAGTCGCAAACTGTAGGGATGTCCTGCTGATGTGGTGATTCTTTCTGCATATCCTGAACGTGACACAAGAACATCTCGCACTTCTTGCGAATCAAGCGCCTCGCGCTCATGGACGATATAAACTCGGGAGCCTTGGGGAACACCTCCCCGAAGAGCGTCACGTCACTACCGTCATCGGCTCTCAGCCGTACGGTCCGACTACTGCAGTCGACCACTGCTCTATGCTCGGTGAGCCAATCCATACCAAGGATAATGTCAAACTCCTTGTGTGGTAGCTCTATCAAATCTGCAGGGAATTGCTTCCCTTGCGCAGACAACGGACACCTATGATAAATGTGATGAAGACGCACGCTATGTCCTAGCGGATTCGATACGACGGTAGGTATCTCAAGGTCACTCCTCATGATCACAGAATTAGCAAGCATGATAACACAGATATAAGAGAGCGTGGAACCCGGATCGATCAAGGCATGCATAACCGAATCAAATAGTATGAACGTACCCAGGATAACATCGGGATTAAGATCTATGCGCCCCTGCATGGCGTAGGTACGCGCTGGTGCACGGCCTGTCTACTGCTGACGTGGTCTCTGCTGATTATTTACGGCCGTAGACTGCTGACTCCGTGCTGGATGTGATGCGGCAGGCTGATCCAGAGCTCTAGGAAAAACAGGCTCGCTGCTAGGGTTTTTCGGGCAATGCCTCCTGAAATGCCCTGGCTGACCACAACCCAAACATAAGCCTTGGGTGAGCCAACACTCACCCGGGTGATGCCTACCACACTATACACACTATGGGTGGCTCTTCGTTCTGATCGCGTTGCTAGCGGCGGCCGACGGAGATGGCTTTGACTTACTCCTCTTAGGCGGCAGCGCACTCGAAGAGCCCTTCTCGTACCTCTTTCCCTCGAATCCAGAACTCTTCCTGCTCGGCCCGGCACTGGCCGCGGGTCGCGGGTCTTTCGTCGCTCAATCCTCCTTCTTCCTCGCCTGCAAATCGTCCAAGCTCTTTTCCGTTTTCACAATCAAATCATACGCCGCATTAAAATCTGTCATCGGGATCAGCGCGGCGTATGGCCTCAGGTCTGGCCGTAGCTTCTTGACAAACTCATTCAAACGATCCTCTAGAGTGGAGACCAGACTCGTCGCATACTGGGACAGGTAGTCGAACTTCTGTCTCAGTTCACGCAGTGAAATCCCCTCCTGCTTTAGCGCAACAAACTCATCGCGCCTCTCCTCGCGGTACCGGGCGGGGACGTACTCCTTCGTGAAAGCTCGATCAAACCGATCCCAAGTCCAAGGCTTGGGCGTGTGTGGATCCTGGTCAATACGCTTCCACCAATCATATGTTCCCTTCCGGAACATCTGTGACGCCAACTCTGAGCGATCTGCATCAGGGACTCTCAAATTCTTGAGCACCCAGTCCATCTGCTCAAGCCACTCCAACGCAATCTGGGGCTCCCCCATCTTGTCTCCTCGAAACTCTTCCGCTCCATTATCCTTCAATGTCTTGAAGGTGATGATGCGCGGCTGCGGTGGCGGCGGTGGCTGGAACATGGGCATATGCTGCGCCATGTGCTGCATATAATGGGCCATCATGGCCGGGAATGTAATGCCCCAAAAATAGGCCTATCAGAGTTAATTAATTTATAATTAATTAATTACTGAGAAGGACCCAAAAATAAGTAAATTCTAAAGTTTGTCAATAAATAATGAAAATTATATCAATGTGTAGAGTTTGACTGTCTGACCCCAACGGTTCAATCGGATTTCAATTTGGAGAAAGTTGGACCAAAAAGTATACCCCGAATGGGACCAAATATTAGTCCCAATCAGGGACTACGTACCAAACGGCGCCCTGTTCAATTACGCCGATTCCAAAATCCGAATCACCGAGCAATCAAGGAAGCTGCAAACTCCCTGTCTTCTTCCTTCCTCACTTGGCTATTTAAGGACAACCCAACTCCCTCATTTCATCACCAAAACAACTCATTCTTCCTTCTATATTGTTCCTTGCTGAGA